AGGTAACAACAACAGCATCTTCTATTCATCTTGGGTGGTTGCGTGTAAAACCGTAGTCAGGTTTAACAAAAGAATTTTAGCCCAGAAATTAGCCCAAACTTTTAAAGACCAAACATTTGGTCTACTTTATTTCAAGAAATAATAAAGACTTAATTTTTTGAATGTAATTGAGCAAAAAAATGATCAAACTTTCAGATATTTGTGGTGCTTTTACCGCATACAGTAGAACTACAGAGAAGCCTTTTTTTTCAAATTTAGTTGCTACCACTCACTAGGAATGTTCTAATTTTAAGAAATTATGACTTAAAAATACAGTATCTGTAAAGTTCACAATTTTCCCCTATTGAAAAGATCAAATAAATACCATAATCCATAGTTGTCCATTATAACTGAGTACTGGTTTAAAACATATTACTCCTGCCTTTATTGTCTTAAAAAATAGACAATATTTCTATCACTGACTTATCTCTAGTCAAAGTAGATTAAAAATTAAGTCTAAAAGTTTGACCAAATTTCTGAGCCACAGATGTTTTGTGCAAGAAATGCCATGCCCCGATTATAGTACATTGTACCTCTGTCATAAAATATCACTCGTCATATCACAGGCCACAGAATTTAAGGTCAACATCTTTTTATGACCTCTGTCCATAATAATGTGACACGAAGATGACCTATGTCTGGTGTCCTCCATCTTCAGAAGGTCACTCTGTCATCCGATTCAATTACAGCCCATATAGTATAAACGGCAATGTATAATGCATGGACCAGTGACAAAAGGTTAGTATCAATTTATTCTTCTTCAATGGCAACTGGCTATTCAAATTCACTCACCTGTTAACATGAAAAAAAAAAAATTGAGGTAGGTGAAACAGGGTCAAGATACCTTTTTATTAGTTCATGTTTAAGTGAATTCTCAAGGGTCATCTTCAATGTCATTGTCAATTTGACCTTTTTTTTGTATTTTGTCCATATCAAACAAAATCTAATTATAATATCTTCATGATTATTATTATTATAACCTTCTTGAGTTTTCTAAGTATGCCATACAGCAGAGGGCTACTTTAAAAATGGGTTTATCCTTAAATCAACTTACATTCAATTCAACTGAAATTAATGTTTTTATTTCTTGTCACTTAAGAAAATCAGTTCTTAGAACTATGGAATTCCATTTTCAGAATATTAAGAATGACAGTAATAAGTTGAATTATTTTTTAATCACCAGATTTTTTTCATCTTTTTGTGTTTTAAAAACTAATTTTGCAATTTGGCCAAGTTGCTTTGCTCTCTGAGCAATTTCATTGATTTTTCCTTTATTTGATTTTTGTGCGAAGATACAATGACACCCCCAGTGAAAGAACAGAAATCATTTCTAAAGGTGACAACTTCTATGAGAAAACGCAGTAAATATTACCACCTATCAACCAAGGCAGCAAATGTTACTCTTTTGAGCACTTGTTAAGGTTGTTAAGGGTGGTGTCACAAAACTGAGGGTCCGTGTAACAGAAAGTCCACCCTCCATATAGTTACAATGGTTAGGGTTAGTCTGCCCTAAGTGGGTCAAAATCTAGGGCGAGGCCAACCTGTACAACGTAATGGGAAGCAGACTTTGTTATGGGGGGCTTTCTGGTACAAGACAGTGGCACCAACAGAGAGCCTCGTTGGTCACAATACACGCGATTCTTATTGGTCAAGCGTGGGTGTGTGTGATGGTGCAGTAACACCAGTTTGTTTAAGTCAGTGAAAGGTTGTACCAGGTTCCAATTTACAGCATCATAAAAACTTTGGGGAAAAAAACCTTTAGTGCTCAAGCTTCTCACAGTACTGGTACCAGTAGCCTGTGCTATATCCATTATAGTTGTCACCCGGTATGTTTTTTCTTTTTTTTTTTTTTTTTTATTACATTTAAACCAAATATAAGGGCCATATATCCTACAGTTTATTTAAAAGAATGGTTTTTAGTTTATTATGGGTCAGATGTTACAAGTTCATTGTATGGATCGGGAGTTAAAAATTTCTACAGTAAAATGACACCCCTAAGCTTATTCTGCAGAAATATATAAAATTTCACATCATTTTTATCAAAACAGTTTCTATTCATCATAACCTGAACAACTGGTGTCCAGTACAGATGTAATATGTTTGACATTTCGATTCTTGCTTCCCGTACTGGCTCTGACAAGTAATTATTCAAACTCGTTTCTTTTTTTTTTTCTGTTTTCAGAGATACCACTGCCATATCAGAAGGTTGACTTTGGGTTTGTGGCAGAGCAATATAACCGACTTTCCTTAATCTTTCAGAACTTACAAGTGTAGGCAATCCCACAGAATATTCTGAGAATCCTTTCTGAAACAGTCACAATATGTAAACCTGGATTTACAACTCAAACAAGTGCACAAGAGACATACGTAAGCATTCTTTCTTTTCCCTATTCAAAGGAATCACTAACAAGTCTTACTAGAGGCAATTTACAGAAAAGAAACGTCTTTTATCGAAACACTAAATTAGTGAAAACTTGAGGATTATTGGCTTTTAAAGCCCCAATAATGTGAACAATTTAGCAAATCTTAATTGCTACAATGTAATTACGGCTTAAAAAATACTAACAAAGGTCTTAGACAAGCAACCATCTAGCTATATTTTGGGCTCCCTAATTCAATTCTGGATGGTCTTTTTTTTTCAGATTTTTATCACTGGAACTAATGGAACCAAGGCATTCTATGGTAGTAAGAAAAGCATTTAATTTGACTAAACTCCTGCTGCTAGCAGATGAAAGATGAGAGATAAAAAGCAACAAGTATAAATTAATAAGAACCTCTACTAGTAAATATAAATTTCTCTTGACATTTACCACAAAATATTTCATGTTTGGCAGTTGTTACCATATGAATGGCTAATATTTGCCCCTGTAATCTGCTGAAAAGATTCCACTTAAATTTTATGATGTGGGATTGGCTAGAAACAATACCAGGCCTAAGGTTATCTAATACAGGGCCATTCCGTGGTATTTGGTCCGCAGACCTCAAAATTTCAAAAAGGAATCCTACTTATAAAACTTATAATTTCTGAAACCAGACATCATAAGACACCAGAATCCATAAGAAATTTTAGGTTTTGATGATTAATTATGATTTTATTGACACTTTTATCTGGAAAACTTATAAAATAGTGTCACGGAAGGACATTTTTATTTTTGATATATTTTTCATAATAGAGATCATTTTAAACAATAAAGGCTAAATACATTAAATATAACCTATTTCTTACATTGAGTCAGGTGCATTAGATTAAAAAAATATTTAATTATAAAATNGGGGCACACTGTCTGCATATGGCCTGTATGCAGAGGATGCAAACACATTGAGCTGGACATACCTGGAATTTTAAAAGTAAATGGTTACACCAGAAAAAAATTTTTTTTTTTCTTAGACCCTGAAGAAGGCATGGAAGCTGACAACTTTTTTTAACCAATCACACCGTGTAGTTGATCATAATAGATGTTGTTTTCACTGTAATTCATTTAATAGTTGCACCACATCTGAATAACTGTTGATTTCTTTGGGTAATTAGGTGTTGTGGACATTTCCTCTATTGTGCTTCATTTGGTTGTGTAAGTATTGGAAAAATGGGCAGTTATAACATTTTTCAAAATAAGATCAATATTAGGACTTTACACTAACTTCTTGTAACAACTAGGCAGGAATGTTGTCAGGATTACTGTCGTCAGGTCTGAGACACTGCATTTCTTGTAACCAACCAGAAAAGAGTGCTTCAGGAGTTCATTTTGCCTCTCAACACCATTTGTGGTAAAAATTGTGCTTAGAGGCCCTGAAGTTTGCAGGAACGCTCTAACCCACCTCTGGAATAGTAAAGGTGTCAACTGTAATACTCAAAATATTTCTAGCTTGATTTTTAAAATAATGTATTAATAATGTATTTCTTAATATGACATGAAATAGTGCAAAGGACAAATATAAAAGTTAAAGTATGATGTTGGTATTATGATGCATGTATCTCCTTGATATCTGATACAACAAACTTGTCATGCTAACCTTTTTTTCTGTCAGCCATGTTCTGGAAAACCATTCTCTCAACTTTTGATTGGAACCCCAAATAGGCATGTTTTTTAACTTCTCACATGCAGTGGCATAATCCAACTCAGTGGTTGCATTTTCTATATCCCTGAACTTTCTTTTTAGTTCAATACAGTGGTCTTCAAAATTGTGAAAAAAAGTTAGATATGTTAATTTGGAAATATTTATGCATAATACTCAAGTGCATATAAAAGCATTAGTTATGCTGCAAATTATTTAATTGTCAAAACTGAGAAACAGTTCCGATAATATACTTGCCTTAAATCGATGCATGTAAGTATCAGGGTTGGAAGTTTAGCAAATACTGTTGATGTAGTTCACTTGTCAGAGGTTGTCAGAAGTCTGGGGATCTCGCAGCTCAAAGTAGACTCTAACACACAAATGTTCTCTATATTCAGTTTATTCAATATATTCTTCTCCTTCTCAGCTCTACTCCTCTTAATACGACCTGCTCTCTTGCTCTACCTCTGTCAACTCTACTTCTCTAGTCAAACTATCCCTTTACATAGGTTCTACACTATAATTTATGGGAGGAAATGGGGGACAATAAATCGAATCTGGGGCTACTAGGTGACTACAATAAGACTACAAGAAAGGAAGTGTCTGATGTTCTGACTACAAGAAAGGAAGTGGCTATTGTTCTAAGCTATCTAATTGAACAGGTGAACAGGTCATAAAGTCTGAGAGGAAGTGCCATTGCATAAACAAAGTAAAGAAATCTTGCAACTTTATGTAACTAAAGACAAATAAATAAAAGTAGTTATGATATGTCTCCCGTGGTCGACAAAATTTGTGCCTCAAATTTTTGTTTTGATTTGAACTTATACAGATATGTGTACAAGAAATTCATTTAAATCAAAAGAAACATTATATAATATCCCTAAATATTTATGAAGCAAATGCGTACATGTACACAAATATATGGTTTGAACTTATACAAATATATTTATATACCCACAAGTGCTTTATCTAAATCTAAATAAATGTACCATTAATATGTATGCAGACACTACATACACATCTACAAAGAAATCTTGCTAACTTACAGGTTATAATTATGGTCACATTGGACATGTTGGTTACTTAAAATCGCAAGCTAGTAAATATACAATTAAAACTATGACTATATAAAAGGCTATTGATAAATGTTATGGTACTAATAAATTAACAAAATACATTATAACATGATACCTAACTCATGTTTAATTCAGTGTTCACCCATATTACACATATATTTAGTTACATATACTTTAATTAGGTTTAATATTTAATTAGGTCATTATTTTATTCTAATGCCCTTCATGCTTTGATGTTGTACCACATCTTGTCGAATATATATGATTATAACTCTATACATAATACCTTATATCCCAACACCATACATATTTAATAATATCATATATTGTCAAACATATATTTATTATTCTAATTATTAAACCTTATGTTTCAATACCTATGACAACTCTTTATTTTTTCAATTATATAGTAAACAGTGCAATATGATTATTTGTCTCATTATTGGTAAATAATTCTTACATTCATATCTACTTTCACACGCAAGTGAACAAGTCTTTCTTATTGTTTTGCATATGTATTCTTTTTCTTTGCGCAATATGGCTATTATAGGTAGACTAATCTTTTGTGGTGTATCACCACTAAATATACATCAAACGGTACTTTGGTTAATCTTTTTAGCTTTAGATAGTTCCACAGTGGTAAGTAAACAGTGACAGGCAATTGGATGTCAGAACTTGGTTTTGCATGGCAGGTTTGTACTAGGACATCATCTCCCCATTGAATGATTATCTTGGGACGGAGTCCTTTGACTAGTGTTATATCTTTAACTAATGGAGCTCCCCTAACAGTAATTTCATTCGGACTAGATTGGATTTTTGTCAGTGGAATTATTTCACTCATTTGCTGGTTTGATACTTCGATTGCCAAACAGTTTTTCAACTTTCTATTTCTGCATCGTCTCCATAGAATTATGGACAGCACTAGCATCAAAGTGGCCATAAAATACACAGTGGGTGTAATCTCAGCAGTCAGGATTTCATACATGTCGAATTTTGTAGTTTCAGGTTGAGTTGTGGTGGTGAGCTTGTAGACAAAGATAGGGGCAGGCGTTGCCCTTGCTTGCCCTATTGTTAGCATAGTAGTTCCCAAGATTTTTAGTTTGTATGCCAAAGAAAAGGTGAAAAGTATGCCTAAACAAGCTAAACCTAAGGCTACATATGCAACTATTTCTTTCAGAGCCATATCAGGTTTGGGTAATTGTAAGTCTCCAGATAATAGTGGTTCGGTGAGCGATTGAAAGATTGTTTCTCCCTTTTTGGCAGCCTTCATTGCCTCTTTGAGATCCATTTGTATTTCCGAATCCTGATTAACAAACTTTGAAAAATTATGTGCAAATAATTTTATTGTGGGGATGTCCACAATTGGGGGAGTAGAGAATGATGAATGGCTTAAAAGGTGAGAAAAATTTTGGCTATCGAAAAAATGTTGAATTACTGCTAAGTTTATGGGGTGTAACACTTCTACGTCACTGGATGTTTCGCAAATCTCTTGGGGTGGCAGAAAAAAGGTTGAATGCTTAATAGTGCATGAGCAAGGCACAGTCATAATGCAAAAATCGCACCCTGTAACTGTGGTGTTTGTTGCACATTCAAAAGTGAGATTGTAAATTTTACTGATAATGATGTGATCCTTTCCCAGACGCTTAACTGATGGGGATGCACTATTGGGAAGGAATTTAAAATGACATATTTCCTTAACTTTGGGTTTATTTTCTTCTAGAATGGCCTGAATACAATCATAATTAACCGCTGGTTTTAATTTGGTAGCTTCACATAATCTTATTTTGTTTCCCGTACACTCATCAAGAAAATCTCTGCTAAAAGTTATCGGTGCCTTGGCCGAGGAAGACTTCCCAAAATATTCTGGAATATTGGTTAGAAGCGAGGAATGGTTACTTGTTGCATTGAACGGTATTTTAAAGACTTCGGTTTCGAACACTTGGAAACTGTTATGAGGTGCAAAAATGGGAATTTTGAGTGTAACGATAATGGAATCATTCATTTTGTTAGTAGCAAATTTTGCATATTGGTAATAGTATTGCATGTCCTGTTGAATAGAATAATGCTTTCCATGTTGTTGCAGGGCTGTCTGAATATGTTTTAGTGTGCTAGCCAAAACTTGGGGAGGGAATAGTACTGGTGAAAGCTTGCCATGTGTTAAGTCGTTTAGTCCTATAACTGTGCTACTTATCTCTTGGTTAAGTTTAGCAGTAACTGTACTTAGGTGCATCAGTTTAGTGATCAACTTAAAATTGAACTCCATTTCATTTTCCACTAGTTTCAGGTCTCCACCTATCATAACACCTAAATGGTGGTTAGCCGCTATTTCCTTAACTATATTTGTTAATCTCAGATTTTGGTGATGGAATATCGAACCAAACTGGCGTGAAAATTTAGAGAAGGTTGTTAGGGCTTTTTGTTGTCTTGCTTGCAAGATATTCATATGATCGATAACCTTGTTGACTTGGCTTTCGGTTGCAACTCCGAACAAAGATTTCGCTATGTTACCCACAAATGGAAGAACTGAACGCTTTTCTCTACTCAATTGGCGACTAGGGGTCTTGAAAGTCATGTCAACTTTGTGGTGGAGGGCTCTCAACTCTGCAGCAGTCTGACTGTAGAGCCTTTTTCCTTCTGAAATGGCCCTTTCCACTAATACACATGTTTTGTCGTCCACACGCCCTTCACAGTCTAGGTCATACGCTGACTCTGACGGAATGTCAGGTATGTGGATCGTCATTGAATGCAGCCAATAGTCGCTTACAATCCTAACAGTTCCCTTATCATGCAACATCAGCCCGTAATTCATAAGGGCTCTATCTGCTAGGGTAACAGGCACAGTAGCTAACATCATCAGGATAATGAGTATGAGGTTGATGTCTCCTGTTTGGGTCACTGAAGGGGAAGAAAGAAAGGGGAGAGATTAGCAATTGCTTGCCTATCTTCTGCCATAGACCAGCTATAAAGAAGTTAGGCCAGAAAAAGAAGTTAGGGTAGGCGCAACCTCAAACTTGATAAACAAACACTCACAAGTGATTACCTATGAACAATGGACTACCTTATATTAGTTACAGAACAACACCTTAGCCATTTATTGACAACAACTGAGCTAACACAACTCATTCTCAAAACTGCCGTTAGACCAAAATTTCCTATATAACAGAGAAAAAGGTAAAATAAAAGCATGAGTCACTAATATCCTTGCACCGGCACAATTCACAGCTAAACCTTTTGTTTGCGAGTTACTAATTTCCTGCGTCTTGCCTTTCCTGACATAGTTTTCTTTGCATGAAATTCAGAGATCAATATTTGTGGAACCTTCTCTGCCAAAACCCAATCTGATCCCTTTTTATGCTTCCATTTCACTCTGTACCACAGCACACTATTATTACCTCTAGCACCTTTCAGGATGCATTGAGCTTCATCACCTAGGGGTACCCCATTTTGATTAGGACTATCAGGAATATCACTGGATAGCATCTCCTTATCTACCCTTTCCGGATTTCTATCGTCCTCTGCCTGCTCGATTGGATAATCAGGTTCAGTTGCTGGTGGGGTTTCATTGTCAAATGGGGTGCGAATTATTGGGTCTGAGTAAGGTTTGAGACGATTGGCATTTACTGGGTGTTTGAGCAGTTTATTGGTTGAACATTCCCTTAATTTGTAGGTGGCTTTCCCAATGATCTTGACTATGTAATATGGTCCTTTGAATTTTGGGGTAATTTTTGATGTTAGTCCCACTGGAGTACTTTCATTTCTTACCATGACCCTATCTGTTACGGCGTATGTAGGTTCTTTGGCCTTTTTGTTGTGTTGTCTAATGTTCTGGGACTGTGAATTCAATTTAATTTGTGCAGCAGCTTTCCTACCTTTATTCAGAGAGTCTAGTTTTTGTGTAATGTAGTCTTCCATATTTTTTGGCAGGTCATTTTGGGGTAACAACTCGTAGTCTAAAGGGGTTGTCATTTCTTTGCCAAATAACAGAAAATATGGAGAATATCCTGTACCTTCAGCAGGTGAGCTCCTGTAGGCCATTAATATAGATTCCACATGGTTTGCCCAATCTGATTGGTCCTTTTTGCACAATGCCCGTAGGGACTGCCAAATAAATCCGTTGAACCTTTCACAGACTGCATTGGTCTGAGGGTGGTAACTGGCCGTGTAATGTTTTTCTACATCAAAAATGTCACAAATGGCCTGAACTAATTTTGATCTAAAATTTTGGCCTCTGTCCGTAATAATTTCGAAAGGAGCACCATATCTTGTGAAAATTTGAGAGTACAAAATTTCCGCTATTTCTTTAGCTTCTTGTGTTTTGAGTGGAAATGCTTCTGGCCATCGCGAAAATGAATCTACTGCCAAAAGAATGTATTTATGGCCAGATTTTGAAGGGGTTATTGGGCCTAAAATGTCAAGATGCCAGGTGCTGAAGACATCTTTGATGGGTAGGGGTTGCAAGGGTGCTGCTTGAATTCGATAACTTCTCTTTACTCTTTGGCAAACTTCACATGATTTTACATACCGCTTTACATCTCTAGGCATTTTGGGCCAGTAGTATTTTAGTCGGAGTTTCTCTAAACATTTGCGATAGCCTGGATGACAAGCTCCTGCTCTAACGTCATGATATGCTCTCAAAACTCTCCGCCTATGCTGTTTGGGTACCACTAATTGTTCTAATACTGTGTCATCACCAGCCTTATGCCTTCTAGTACAGCGATGTTTCCTGTATAATACTTGATCTCTAAGGAAGAATATTTCTTGAATGCTTTTTCCTTTCTCCTCCGGACTACTAGGGGACTCTCCTAGTTTCTCAATCATGGGGGCTAAGTCTTTCGAGGACCGTTGCATCTGTACAAGGTTGTTTAAATTCACTTCCTTGGGATTATGTTCACTAATACTAGCTATTACCATTGCAGTTTGGGTTTCCTATAAATAAACCTTGTAGCTTCCCATTCACTCTTCTGAAAACCAACCTTACATGCATGAACTACACTGACTTCTTCCCGCTTTTGATCCTTTTCACCATCGTTAACCTCATCCTGTCTAGACAAGCAATCCACTGGATTCAGGCTTCCCTTTTTGTAAACCACCGTGTACTGTAAACCTTGAGTTTCCAAAGACCATCTATTCAGTTTCTGATTGGACGACTGCTTGGACTCTAGCCATTTTAAGGGCATGTGATCTGTATATATAGTGAAATGACGGTTTTGTAAAAACTGGCGATATTCCCTTATGCCTTCAATTAAAGCTAAGCATTCTTTTTCCGTAACCCCATAGTTTCTTTCAGCATTTCTTAAAGTCCTAGAACCATAAGCAATAACATGCTCTCGTCCGTCTTCTCCTACCTGACTTAACATGTAGCCTATAGCAAAATCTGAGGCGTCAGTTGTCAAATTAAACTCTTTATTCATATCAGGAAAAACAAGTATGGGAGCGTTTGCTAGAGCTGACTTCAAATCATTAAATGCTTGATCACACTCATCAGTCCATTGGAAGTCCGTAGTTTTCTTAGTTAGGGAACACAGAGGGGCAGCTATCTTGGCGTAACCTGTGACATATCGCCTGTAGTAATTACACATACCCAAAAAGCTACGCACCTGAGTACGAGTTTTAGGGATGGCAATCTTCTTAACGGCCTCTACCTTAGATGCATCAACCGAAATCCCGTCCTTGGAAATGAAATGACCTAGGAAAGCTACCCTTTTGGTGGCTAGTTTACACTTTGAGGTTTTGACAGAAAGATTGGCGTCTTGCAGCCTCTGAAATACTAACTCCAGGTGCTCTAGATGTTCTTCAAAGGTTTTGGAAAAGATCAGGATATCATCAATATAGCATGCTACCATGCGCCAGTTTAGATCTTTCAGAATACGAGCCATAGTGGACTGATAAAAACTCGCGGCGTTGCGAAGGCCAAAAGCTAAGCGTTTAAACTGAAAGTGCCCATGGTGAGTTACAAATGCAGATTTATGCCTCGTTTCCTCAGCTAGAGGCAGTTGCCAATAACCACTGAAGAGATCCAAAGAAGAAAAGAATTTAGCTTGAGATTCTGAAAGAATGTCCAGTACATCAGTAAGACGTGGTAAAGGAAAGTGAATAGGGGACGTGACCTTGTTGAGTCGCCTGTAATCAATAGCGAATCTCATGGAGCCATCTTTCTTTTTCACTAACACAACCGGACTAGCCCACTCACTGGTAGATTCCTCTATTATGCCATTTTTTAACATTTCGTCAGTCTGTCTCTCTACTTCGGCCTTCTGTTCAGGGGTTTGCCTATAGTGTCTTTGCCTCTGGGGAGGGGCATTTCCTGTGTCAATGACATGACCTTTAACTCTACCTTCACCTACCTCAGACAAATTAGAGGCAAAAACTTCTCTGTACTTCCCTATAAGTATAAGGAGCTGTTCCTTTTGTGACTGAGTTAAATCTGCCTCATCTAGGCAAATACCAGTTTCTTGACCATGTTTTAAATACTGGGCTTTAGTCTCTACATCACTAACCTGCACTTGTTCATGAGAAGGGGTTGCTGACATAACGCTAGGTGGCCGTGGGTGAGTAAGAGATACAAGATTGCTTTCTTCTATTGGGTAAGCCTTAGCCATTAATTTATCATAGGGAATGAAAATGGTTTGGTTAGTGGGATTGTAGATGCGGCATGCACTCGTACCTTTGTCTATTTTTACCACACATCTGGCAACCATGTAACTATTTTCGATGGGTTCTAAAAGCAGATTTTCAGCGTTTGAGTTGTTAACTCCTGAAATTTTCACTGGTATTAATGCTTCTCTACCTGGGTCAATTCTACATTGTTGTACAGCACGCACCAGGCCTAAATGATCAGGTTTGTTTGTCTTTGGGGCGTCATGGCTTTGGAAAGTAATAGTTTCATTTTTCACATCAAATTTAGCACCATTATTCCTAAGAAAATCTAACCCCAAAATAAGATTTCTCGGTAGCTGTTGAAATACATAAAAATTTTGGGAAAAGGGCTTTTTACCAATTTGAAAGTCTACTGTAATACATCCCTTCACTTTATGCAATTCTCCCCCTACACCAGCTACTGCAACCAAATCAGCATTTTTTATTTTGAAATTTTGATTTTTCAACTGCCATAAGAGATTTTCTGAAATACATGAAACTGTAGCCCCAGTGTCTATCATTGCTTTTACCGTTTTGTCACCTATCTCGACATCTATCCAATTGTGGTCAACGCGATCACCCACAAAAATTACTCCTAAATTGCCAATTTTCTGTAAACTTTTGCTACCTATATTCTTAGTCATATTGCGCTCGCACCCCTATTGTTTTATAGTCCTGCACACAGTTGCTAGGTGACCTAAGCGGCCGCATTTATAACAAGTTTTATCTTTTGCAAAACAAGAAGAAGGAGAATGACTCGTCCACTTACCACACGTATTGCACTTGCGCTTCTCACTTTCTCTCTCTCTGCTCCTTTCTCTACTTCTTTGCCTAAATTGACTACGGTTGTCCTCCCTTGCCTGAAAAGAAACTTTTCTATCATTAGTATTGGTTGTTACAGCTTGAACACTTGCACACTTAGTGACCAGCTGGCTCAACTGGCTCATTATATCCTTGTGCATTTCCGCAAACTGTGACATGACACTGGCCATGTTCACAACTTCAGTCTGGGCCACTGTTGGTGCTGGCTCCTGACTTGGGCTGCATGCAGAGGCAGCGTCTGCCAGAGTGGCAGCCTCCTGCAAGTCTCTCAAGTTTTGGGGGTTTTTCATGATTATGGCTGTCCTTATAGAAGGATCAAGTCCATTCACAACAGCTGCAACTATGTGTTGCTCCGGCAATCCGACTTCTCTTCCCATTTTTGTCATTTTTGCTAGGTAGTCTCTGATTTTTGTATTTCCTTGCTGACATGAAAACAATTTTGCTGTCCTTGTTCTTATGGTGGCTGGGCTAGGTCCATACCTTGTCAAAAATTGCCTTTTTAAGGCTTCAAAGTCAGCTTTGGTATCACCATCCAAAGTTGAATACCAGGTCTTGGCATTATCCATTAATAAATAAGCAAAATGAGACAGTTTCATTTGCAGGTTATACTGCATTACCTGGCAGTACTCTTCATATCTGCCCATCCATTCCTCTGCATTTTCACTCTCATCTCCTCGGAAAGGAAATGGAGAGAGGTGTTGTGGGAGGGATAAAATAACCTGATGTCCTGGTTGCCTTGGTCCCTCTGCTGCTTGTGATGGTGGTGGTGGTGGTGGAGGAGGTGGTGTTGGTGGTGCTCTGCTACTTACATTTACTGCAGATGGCCCTGGCCTTTCTGCCTCACGGGTTGGCTCCTCTTCCTGGGCTCTGGGGGATCTTCTGGTGGCCATATTTTTGCCCTTTTGGTTCTCCGCCAGTATCAGGGTTAGAAGTTTAGCAAATACTGTTGATGTAGTTCACTTGTCAGAGGTTGTCAGAAGTCTGGGGATCTCGCAGCTCAAAGTAGACTCTAACACACAAATGTTCTCTATATTCAGTTTATTCAATATATTCTTCTCCTTCTCAGCTCTACTCCTCTTAATACGACCTGCTCTCTTGCTCTACCTCTGTCAACTCTACTTCTCTAGTCAAACTATCTCTTTACATAGGTTCTACACTATAATTTATGGGAGGAAATGGGGGACAATAAATTGAATCTGGGGCTACTAGGTGACTACAATAAGACTACAAGAAAGGAAGTGTCTGATGTTCTGACTACAAGAAAGGAAGTGGCTATTGTTCTAAGCTATCTAATTGAACAGGTGAACAGGTCGTAAAGTCTGAGAGGAAGTGCCATTGCATAAACAAAGTAAAGAAATCTTGCAACTTTATGTAACTAAAGACAAATAAATAAAAGTAGTTATGATTATAGTCAAAATATTAGTAACATGTTTGAATATGAAATATATTACCACGGAAAGACATGTTTACATTTGATATTATTCATCAAAATTATGCTGGTATGTATTCATAAAATATTATTATTAGCCTTATTTTACATTTTATTTAGCAATGGACAAAACGTCCTTCCGAGACGTGTCCTTCCATGACACCTACTTGATTTTTTTATATGCAAAATTTTCAAATTTATTATTTTTTTTCCAAAAAAAAATTTATACACTGAGAAAGTAAAATAATCAAATATTCATATTTTGATTTGATTTTAAAAATATCTACACAGACAGAGCAGAATTTTAGTGTTGAAGTTGAAAGTTAAAATTCCATGTCCATTTCACGTCCTTCCGAGATGCTAACTATTTATTATAATTTTTTCGTAACTTTAATTTTTTTAAACCTAATTTTTTGCCTAATTATAACTTACATATAGAAGAATAAACATACAAAAAATGGACCTTATAACTTTTTTACTTTTGAAAATATTTTCATTTGAAGTGTCAAATGTCCTTCCATAACAGCAAAAAAATACCACGGAATGGCCCTACAGTAGTACCTTAACTAATAAAGGAAACGCAATATCCAATATGATGTTCCATATTTACTCGCCATGCACGAAGTAATGAAGCCATTACCTACAACCTTGAAACCTGTTTCAAATATTTACATGCTGTATAGCATGAACTCAGTATGAACTGTATTTAATATGGAAAACTTGTCTTACTGATATCTTCTTCCAACAAGTAACCCCAGATGAACTTGGAGAGTTTATCGTTGCTGTTATCTTTCAGATTGGTATCCCCCCCCCCAAAAAAAAAAAAATCTAAAATATAATAATTGCATGTTATGATACTTTTTCAGGTTTTAAGCATTCTCAATAGGATATTTTTGTAATTTTGTTTATTTTATTAATAATTACCTTTTTCAGACTGGTTTACAGATTCTAAAATTCCTGCAAATATATTAGAACAAATCTGGTGTTTTTCACAATAGTTTACATTTATCTTGGGCCCATTTTTTCAATAAAACCATAAATGAAGAACACAATACAATTGACAAGAGTTTTTGATTTTGCTCACATATGGCTGACACCACGATGCCTCCCACACTCCATATAAGTAGTTACATCCGTACTATACGGGAGAAAAGAATTCCATTTTTTTCTTTTGTTATGTTACATCATTTGAACAATGAAAAACCTATACCGGACAATGGGGATGTTTACAAAATAAACAAACAATTTTTTTAATGTAAACAAACGAGACTCCCTATTTTTGTTTACGTTTCACTATGGTAACGGATGACGTCACAGAACGGGCCTGGGCATGTCGGAGATTTTAAAGAATTACTAAGGAAAAAGGCACAATGTAGTGATAAACAAGTAAATTTGTAAATAAAACATGATTTTATTGAAATACATAATTGCATTGTAAGTTGATCATAGTGAACAGTTGTATATACACATTAAAACATTAAAACAATGTACATAAATGTCTAATTTACTAAAAGATAATAATTAAGCATAATGCAGTGCAAAGTGAGTATAGTGAATCTATCAATTACATGCACAGATTAAAACAGCAAAACAATGTATGTACAACAAAATGAAAAATGATAAATATATAAACAACACTACTCGGCAATTTATGAAAGTTAATAGCCGTATGGTAGTGTATCAAATGAGTCTTGCTGAATGACACGTTTAGTGTACACAACCCGGTAAACTTTATCCTCCCTTTTAGAGAGCAGTTCTTTATTCAGAGTGTCTCGCACAATTTTATGATGTGTAGTTGTTGACACCTCTTTCGGACCTATACCGTGTACCATGTTACGTAAAGTCTCATAGTTCACTATTTGTGAGGTTTCATAATTCAGTGAGATACCCCTCACTTTACAAATTGTCTTTCCCTTTGCGGTAACGTATGCGTAGTTTTTCGGCCCGCCCGACACGAAGGTGGTGATGTGGTCCCCCTCATCTAGCTCNCCCCAAAACCCTTATGTCTTTCAAGATAATCTTGAACTTAAAATTCACAATTATTATATATAGAAGCATTTTTAAACTGAGAAACATTTCATTTGAATGAATAATATTGAAGTTATTATAATTTAGACAATTGATTATATTTATAATTAATAGATTTGGTAAGAATTTCTCAAAAAATGTCCCAATATTATTTAAAGATGATCAGAGCAGATGAGAACTTATATTATAGTCAAAATTAGTAACATGTTTGAAGATGAAATATATTACCACGGAAAGACATGTTTACATTTGATATTATTCATCAAAATTATGCTGGTATGTATTCATAAAATATTATTATTAGCCTTATTTTACATTTTATTTAGCAATGGACAAAACGTCCTTCCGAGACGTGTCCTTCCATGACGCCTACTTGATTTTTTTATATGCAAAATTTTCAAATTTATTATTTTTTTTCCAAAAAATTTTTTATACACTGAGAAAGTAAAATAATCAAATATTCATATTTTGATTTGATTTTAAAAATATCTACACAGACAGAGCAGAATTTTAGTGTTGAAGTTGAAAGTTAAAATTCCATGTCCATTTCACGTCCTTCCGAGATGCTAACTATAATTTTTTCGTAACTTTAATTTTTTTAAACCTAATTTTTTGCCTAATTATAACTTACATATAGAAGAATAAACATACAAAAAATGGACCTTGTAACTTTTTTACTTTTGAAAATATTTTCATTTGAAGTGTCAAATGTCCTTCCATAACAGCAAAAAAATACCACGGAATGGCCCAGTAACAAACTCCCCTTGAACTAGTATGAAAATTGCCTTATCATTGCACTCAGATCACTCACAATTTCCCATTGACCATCTTCCAGTCTCTTGAAGGAATATGAAAACTACCTCCCAGATCGCTTACGAATATGAAAATAGTCTTTTTGGTTCCATCTAGAATACTTATCCCTTGCATGTTTGTTTTAGAGTGGTCAAATGACAAAACATACTCATTTTCAACGGTGTGCATTGTTGGTTGAGGTTGCTGTTACATCTAACACAATCACTATCATATGAATAACAATCATTGCTGAAATCACATCTACCGTAATCATTGCTGAAACAACTACCAGTCAGTCACATCTACCACAATCAATGTTGTCAGTTCTAACAAATTTGTCACATCTAACACAATCAATGTTGTCATAGCAAACACAATCACACTAACCTTTTCCCTCCACAGAGACGATATATATAATCTGTAGTAGTATGAACTACTTGATTGTAAGGTTTCCCAGTAGTTTTGTTCTGATACCATAGCTGGCAGTAAAGCCTGTTAGGTTCAGAGGACTGATATGCCACAACACAAACTTTGGCAAAATTCTCCCTCATGTCAAGGTAAGCACTGAAAATGTAATTGGCGGAATCCAAGCTTTTGTTACTGACAGGCAGCCACAGCTGCTGCTCCGAGATGCTGGGCAACACAACTGGAAGATTTGGACAGCTTTTGCGATCTTTTATGTGAATAACAGGATTTTTCTTTCTGTAATTTGTTGGATTGTTCTTCTTCTCAGATGTTACTGTCACAGTATTTTCTTTAAAAGTTTTATTCATCAGACCTGTCTCCAAATTCTCAGACATCCTTCGCTTGGCTTTTTCTTTTATGGTTTCTTCCACAATGCTTGACTTTTTGTTTTTTCCTCTGAATCTTGTGTCATTGACAATATTTTGGCTGCTCTGTAACACTTTGGATGAAATTTCTAGTTTTGCTTTATCATTTGTTAATCCATTCCCTTCTACGAACTGTTTTAGAGGAGTTTTCATAGCCAGCGTCTGTGCACTCATAGAAATAGCATCCAATGAGCTTCTTTTTTCCTCTTCAACTTTGTGTATTTCCTTGCTCATCTGCAACTGTACTTGGGCATAATTTTGCTTTTCTGCAAGCCAAAAAGTTTCAAATACCATCACACTGAATTCTAATAGCCCAAGAATCAACAAAAGTAGAGTTACGTTTTGAGAAAAAGTGTTGTTCACCATCTTTGAACTTCTTTCTAACTACCAGCAAGGCCATTAATTATTCACTGTGTGAATATTTATAATTCATACTGAATTACGTGATCAAAGAGGCAATATTGCCTCCGGGTATTATGCAACCAGCTGAAAAAAGGACATTTGTATTGAATCAAAAACAAGGCAGCAAAGTTGTCAAATGTAGAGACTTTAAACAGGAAAAATGTCCATTTTCAAGCTTTTTACATAATATAAATTAAGCAATTCACTATCATTTTATACGATCAACTAACAAAATTGTTCAGAGGAGAAAAATATCAACAGAACAATATAAATGTCCAATTTGCTCTACTCTGAGATTCTGAACATGGTGAAGGATTGAAGCTGACAAACTGATATGGGTTTATTTCCATTCTTGACACTTTATTACACAATACACGAGAACAGATTTGCCCTCATCTTTATGTAATAAACCAAAAAAAAAAGTTAAGATGCAGAAAATGACAAAAGAACATTAATTAGGTATGAAAGAACAAACTAGTCAGTATGTGGTCAGTATTGCAATAGGTGTGCTGACCAAGCACATCCACTACACTTCATTTGCACAAGGACCTTGATTTGCATAAATAAACAGTTTTTGGTGGTCAACCCCTGGGTGCTTTCCAGTTGAAGTAAAGTTGGAAAGGAATGCAGTTCTCCAGAGTAATGCAGTGGCAGAATCTGATGTTAATTTAGTTGAAAGAGGCATATTATGGTGAGACAGTTACCAGTATATATAAAATTATATATACTTTATTAATTTTTTATGTATGTATATATTATATTGCTTTCTCAACTTTACAGAATAATCATAGGGGTGCTAGGTCTGAGTTACTTCTCCAGCAGGTAGCTCAACAGCTATGAAATGTTTTCCAGAGATCAACTACAAACTGACTGATCTCTACATTTATTTCTATGGCTGAAAGATCTGGCCCCCGTTTCACAAAGAATCTTAAATCCATAGTCGACTAGCTCAGGCTAGGTGACCTAGCTAGGTCGACTACACTGAAGTCGACTAGGAGTGTTTCACAAAGAATCTAACGTCTTAGCTTGACGTGCTTACTGTAGTCGACGCGCACGAGAAACTCTTCAAGAAAAGGAGGTGTAAAATTTCAAAAGTTTCACAAGACATGACGTTTCATGGCCTCTTTCAGCCAAAAACGATCGTTTATCAACAATAATAATAATCATAATAATAATCTTTATTGGAGAAATCGCAACCCGAAGGTTGAAGTTATACAATTACATAAATGAATATTTAAGTCAAGGAAGCCTGGTCATTTTTGCACTGGTGCACTCCGTAGGCGGTCTCACCTCCCTGGGGAGCATACATATATCTTAAGATCTTTTCCTGATATACATGTACATAGGGAGAAACACATAAATACAATGCAGTCATTCCATGTTATTTAGCATTTAAAATCTATAGGGTGGTCCATAAAAAAATACCTATTATACTTAATTACACAATACACAACAGCAAGTTTAGCATCATTTTTATATCAACTTACAACATTGTTAAGATCGATGAAGAAAAAGTCAAAATAACACTTTTACGTATATCTAATTAGTTCAATAATGAGTTGTTAACATGCCTCAGAATTGAAACTGAAGAAAGACTATGTATATATATACAAAAAAGGCATAAATTTATCCAAACTGAACCTATCAAGCTTATTTTTTAACTTGATCTGTAAAATAGTCCTACAAATCTGTCCTACAAGTTTTAAAGCAAAATATCACATGGTTTTCATGTTATCTGTATAATGGTGGATAAAATAAAAAAAATAAAAAAATAAAAAATAAAAAAAACAGCAGAACTTTTGTAAAAATGGTCCCATCAACTGATCAAGCTGGTTTTCAAACTCGACCTGTATTTAAGTAAGGTTGATCACTCCTGTGAGTTTCAAGACAACAGGCCTATAAGTTTTCCTTGACATGTGTTAACAGTATAGCAAATATGCTGAAAAAAAAATAATAAAAATGAAAATAAAAAACAGCATAACTTTGGTAAATATGGTCCCATCAAGCGAATAGGGGAGATGCGATATATACAGCACACAAGAAGGGTGGGGACTGAAAACATGGGTACCACCAGTGCCTACCCTGGGGGTACAATATGACTCTACCATGAACTAGTAATAACATAAAATGAAACATGAGCAGATTATGGAGGTTTGTCAATGCAGAAATGCACAGGCAAATACCTAGAGGCTGCCAGAATACATGACTTTCTGTCTGTGTGCACCTACCCTAAAAACTTCCATGGCTTCGGCGGATGGCCTTTTTCTCACCCCAAAAGGCTACACGCTGATATAAAACTCACCCAAACTGAATATTGTATCACAGGAAAGGCGAATTCTTTCTTTATTCGATGTCATGGTCTGCTATTTTACGTTGTTATTCTGTCTTAATGTACACAATCAACATTTATGTTCACCATGTCGAACTCGTGCTTGTGTTTGCATTTGTTCCGCCGCCACAAAAATGTTAGTCGTCAAGATACGACAAACTCGACGTCTAAATATGTAGAGTTATAATTGTCACTAAAGAATACTCTTTAAAGTTCAAAAATATACACGAACAACATAGTGTGGATTTTTTGTTACTTAACATCAGTTAGACAAATAATTTTGACTTAATTAGCGTGTTTAGCTTTTCTTGGTTGTTGACAAACATGGCCGATGCGGAAAAATATTCATGACAGCAGCAGAGACAAAACACCAGGTTGCATTGTTTCCCCCAAGTTGAGGTAAATTTTGGTAGGTTTCTTGAAGTCTGCGTAAAGGCCAAATAAAACATAAGATTTTGAAGCTAATATTTTAAGTGTAGTACCGGTAACGCCTCAAGAGACGAATTTACATACAGTCGTTTAGTCCCACTGGTGAAAATGAAATGGAACATGTGAAACACTGGAACTCACAAGTGACAGAATTTTAAATCGTTTTTAAATGAAAACGAGGAGGGGGAGCGACGCTGCGGGGGAGTACTTTGCGGTGGGGGGGGGGGTAATGATGTGGGCAATATTTTAATTTGCCAAAGGAAGTAAGGATAGGTCAGGACAACGATGCAGGAACCTAGAGGAATGGCCACGAAAATTCAAGTGAAATATTAGATTGATTTTTGTACAATTTCATATCGCAATATGAATATCTTAATATGTCTCAGTATCAAGTATCTCAGTATCAAGTATCTCAGTATCAAGTATCTCAGTATCAAGTATCTTAGTATCAAGCCAAATGGTTAAATATTTCATAATTTCTTAACATCTCATTTTATCTCAGTATCAAATCAAACTTGTGCCTTTTCATTTCAATTTTCAGCCATGTCTTCCCCAGTCTCTACAGAAAAGCCACCTGCAGCTCCAACCCCCATAGCCAGTGGCATGGCGAGCAGTGTGTGGGGCTGGGCAGTGCTAGGAGGGACTCTGTATTTTACTACCTTTGGCCTGACTGGAGGAATATGTGTGATATTGTATGTACTGGCATTTGTTGCAGGGTAAGCAGTGGTTTGAGATAAGGTGATGAAAAGGATTGTTCGCTGTTCAGTGTCTGAGCACTTTCGTGGATGTCCAGTTAACGTTAATTGGAGCACCTTCAGGTCTACCCAATTACCAGACTTGGCACCGAATGATCCTGAATTCACCAGTAGATCAGACCACACTACCAGTTTTCAAGTTGTCCGTCAGTGGGCACTTCGAAATTATCAGACCCGACACAGCTCTTGCTCTAGCGATGATTCTAAGCGGGGTTGGAAAGTAGTGCATCTCATCTCAAAATTTGTTCCTGGATATGATACTGTGAAACGCGTACTGAGGCACACCTTGAAAACTGGTAGTGTGGTTCTGATGTAACACATGCATACACATCTTGGTCTGTAGTGCACCTATTATTAACACAAGCATCAATATCCTACAATATATAGTATGTGTATGAATACTTGTACTCTACAACAATACTAATACTAGTGAGAAATTGGTGTGTAAATTATATTATTATTATTTTATTATTATTATTTTCAGTTGTTTGACCATAGCATACTACATTGGCAGGAAGCAGTCCATTGTCATGTTGGAATATGGCCAGCCAAGTTTTGGATATCCAAGAAGAGGAATACCCAAGGTAAAAATTGAAACAAGAATGTGTAATACTCTTATAATAAAAGGGAATGACATGGATTTTCCCTTTTTGAAATGGACAGTGTTATGTTTCTAAATCATTTTAAACAATCCCCTTTGTCTTCCAGTTGGTGAAGGAGGTGACCACTATTAAGCCAGTCCCAAAAGTTGACAAGCGTCTCACAGGATCCAATGTCATAGATGAAGCACTGCAGGAGGTGAACTGATCAGAGTTAGAATCCTGTAGATGACTACTTCACAATAGAAGTTTAACCCAAAAGTTGCTTTCAAGTTTAGAAACAAAATTTTAGTATACTTCTTTCCAGGAGAAATTACTGGGTATAATGTGGTATATTCCACCGAAATAGAATAACATATTTGTTATAAAGCAGGTGCAATTATTGTATGTAACCTAATTTGGCTGATTTATCTTGGGCCAAATTTGACTAAAGTTTGGGTCTAATTTTTTTATTTATTTATTTTTATTTATTTATTTATTTTTTTTGTGAAGTGGGCTGAAGTACTTGGTCAAAAAATATAAAAACTACATTCTAAAGAAGATTTTTTCTTATAATACTTTCCAGTGTCAATATTAAGGGTCCCTTCCCCTCTTTGGTCATACTATTATTATATTAATGTTATGTTGTCTTATGTTTCTTTGCTATCTCTCAGGTACTAGAGTACACATTTCGTGACTATATCCATGTGTGGTACCAGAGACTCAGTGACCACGAGGGATTTAAGTACGACATGAGGCAAACCATACAAAAAGTTGTCATAGCTTTTTCAAGCAGGTAAGCTACTTATTCTAAAAACATTGATGGAAACACATTTGATTCAACGTCTAATTATTTTTCGATAAAACAATGTTGATAATGTTATGAAATATATTTTTTGATAGTTATATTGATGCAGAGTACAAGGATTCCACAATGTTCCACCATGTTTTTCCTTACTATTAGAACTGACTTAGAAAATAATTGATCTTTAGGACCAAAGAGATTGACTGGGTGCCCTACCTGACCACAAGACTTGTAGACGACTTCACATCTCATGTTAGAATGTTTAGAAAAGCCAAAGAAAAGATGAAGGCAAAAGACAAGGATGGTAAGTGTCCCTTTTGAAGATCAGATTCTATGAGAATGTTAAGAAAGGTACAGGGTAGGGGGTCTGGAGAAAAACAGAACACAAGGGTATATCCAATGAAAATTGTAAGATATCAAGTTTTGAACCTTGTTTTTGTTATAACATTGTAGCCTTGTTTATATATGCTAAAATATAAAACTCAGAAATCTTTTGGTATACACATTTTGTGGAATTATGCCTGTTCACTCCAAGTTTTCACGTCTGTTGAAAACCCATGCAGTCTTCACTATATGCAAATAAATAAAAATATGAATTCACACAATAAGAAGTGGTAAGGACCCAAAACAATACATAGTCGTTTCTGATCTTTGAATGTCTTTTGATCTGTTTGGGTTGAAGATACTATTATCTTCAATTTATTTTTAAATTGATTTTTATGCACATCATTCTTTATCTCACAAAATGGAATCATCATTATTATAATTAGTAGTATTTATTTATTTCATTATTATTATTATTATTATTATTATTATTATTATTATTATTATTATTATTATTATTTGTAAAATATAGGTAAATACACAGAGGAGGAACTAATGGAAGCATTCTTTGACCAGGAGGCAAAGCATGAAGTTAAAAAAGACTGTAACTCAGTACATATCTGCAGAGACATGATATGCCTAAAGAAAGAAAGTGAGATACGTAAGTGTCAGTGTGAACACAGTTAGAACAGTTCCTGTAGTAGTGACCTGAGTAATACTTATTTAGCACAAGCTGGGATTTTTCCTCATCGTTAACTAATGGGAAATCCATTTGGAGCCCTTGGTCTCACTGCACTGATATGAGCAGATGTTGTTACTGACTGCCAGGTGGTATAAAGCAGCTAAGACACACCCCCCCCCCTCCCAGAGTTGGTCGTAAGCTTATGGGATAATAATTGTTATATGTTCCAACTACAAAGCTAATGAACATTTTTTTGCTCAAGAATGGTTCTGTCTGCATGCCAAACATTGGAGTGTGTGTATTTAATTTTGCTGTACCCTTATCTCAACTATACCTTTGGAAGACCTTAGATTTGTTTCATTCTTGGCATTATCATGACCTTATTTTGTTTTCAGAATTCCTGCAGGATTTGAGTGAAGTGCTGCTATTTTTGCTGCTGCCTCCAGAAGATTATCATAACAAGCCATTCCGTTACATTTGTAGGGTAAGTTAAAGGTGTCTTCATACTCTGCCAAGGTTTAATATGTGAATCTTTTAACATGATATCTATCACTCAAAAAGTCACCATCATATTGACAGAGCTGATTGAATGTCTAAAGTATTTTCACCAAATGCACAACTCCTGAGCACTGAGTTGTCTGGTTATATAATGTATGTTATTAACTACACTGTAAATGGTATATTATATGATAAAAGGCAGATGTAACATGAATTATTGGATATTGTTGTGTCAGGTGAGACATTGTAATTGTTTCAGGTGTGACAGTAATTGTTTCAGGTTTCACATTTTAACTGAGTCTACTCGGTGCTTTGGACAGATTTTGTTGCCAAGTCTATGGTTTTTATATGTGTGCATAATGATTCACTTTTTATTGATTATGATTTTACATTCATTAAAATGCTATGGACACAAAAATATCAAGATATAGATAGTTATTTTAGAAGAAGGAGTGCCAGCAGTGACATTTGCACGTTTATTATTTATTTATTTATTTTTTTTTTCTGACAGTAATTTATTATTTTCTAGGAAGTAATGGTCAATGGAGTGTTCATTCCCAGCATAGATCTACTGTCTGACCCAGACTACATTAACCAGTATATTGCATGGATGGTAGGTGTAAAAGTTCTAATATGTATAAAATGGTAGGTTGCCCATAGGTTAAATGCCTTGGGGCCAGAAAATATGTTTTGTGTTATGTGAAGATTTTTGTAAGGCAATGTTTAGAGGCTATAGCTAAATACAAAAAAAAAAGTTTTGCCAAAGTGATGACATATCTCTTTGTGTAAATCAACGAAAAAATAGCAAAATATTCACACAGGTGACATATATTTAGGAATATAAGCTTTAGGTCCATATATTGATCCAATATAATTCATATGCATGGGAGCGTGTGAATCATTACTACATTGATTAAAAAATTTTGATGATCCTAGGTTAGATTAAATCAAAATGATTCTGGTATAAATTGAGGTATTTTAATTGAGCTGGATTGCTGGTACTTTCAGTGCAAAGAAGACACCCTGACCAAAGAAGCATTCCTCACTGTTCTGAAGACTTCAGACACCATAGAGGAACTCCAAGCTGTCAGAGAGAAGGTGGACTTAGATATTGCTAAATATAGGGCCAGAGACACAGGTGGCAGTGAGGGTAAGTTAGTGTAAAGATGTCAAAAGATGCAGATATCAGTAATAAATGATCGCATTGACTATGAGGCTTTCTTCCCTTACAAAAAATTCTTAAAGGATGTCCTAGAGGAATCCTACAGGACTCTGTGACACCATAGAAATCCTACCGGACTCTATGGGACACTATAGTAATCCTACAGGACTCTGTGGGACTCTATAGGATTTCTATCAAACTTTCTATCATAGGATCCCTTCCCAGGACATATGTCCTGTAAGATTTTGGCAGATTTTCCTATAGGACACCCTATAGGACCCCAGGGGAAATTTCTATTAGGGATGACAGACATAATATTTTCAGAAGTAGATTTCAAAAATTTTACACACACTCACACACACACAAACACACACACACACACACACACACACATTTTTTTCTGCCAGGTGTTTGGTATCTTCACATGAATGTAATGAGAGTTCTACTTTTGTCTTCAGACACAGAAATCAAGCGTCAGCTCAGTAGTCTGCAGTATGTGAAGGCGACATGTGACAAACAGATAGCGCGACTACGAGGAGACCTGGACGAGGTGGATGCAGGTGACGCACTAGGAGCGGTATTTATTGTTTCTTTTTTCTCTTCTCAATATGACAATGTCAAATAAAATACTGTTACAGGTTTTGAAGAAAATGTAGAAATTAATAACTGTTTTCTAGTAAGATTGATCTAGCTGAGGGTGATATGATACTATAATGTTACTGTATTTGATATATCATGCTTAAATATATNGTTTATGTTCACCATGTCGAACTCGTGCTTGTGTTTGCATTTGTTCCGCCGCCACAAAAATGTTAGCCGTCAAGATACGACAAACTCGACGTCTAAATATGTAGAGTTATAATTGTCACTAAAGAATACTCTTTAAAGTTCAAAAATATACACGAACAACACAGTGTGGATTTTTTGTTACTTAACATCAGTTAGACAAATAATTTTGACTTAATTAGCGTGTTTAGCTTTTCTTGGTTGTTGACAAACATGGCCGATGCGGAAAAATATTCATGACAGCAGCAGAGACAAAACACCAGGTTGCATTGTTTCCCCCAAGTTGAGGTAAATTTTGGTAGGTTTCTTGAAGTCTGCGTAAAGGCCAAATAAAACATAAGATTTTGAAGCTAATATTTTAAGTGTAGTACCGGTAACGCCTCAAGAGACGAATTTACATACAGTCGTTTAGTCCCACTGGTGAAAATGAAATGGAACATATGTATTAATTTCAAAGTCTTACTATGAAACACTGGAACTCACAAGTGACAGAATTTTAAATCGTTTTTAAATGAAAACGAGGAGGGGGAGCGACGCTGCGGGGGAGTACTTTGCGGGGGGGGGGGGGGGGGGAATGATGTGGGCAATATTTTAATTTACCAAAGGAAGTAAGGATAGGTCAGGACAACGATGCAGGAACCTAGAGGAATGGCCACGAAAATTCAAGAGAAATATTAGATTGATTTTTGTACAATTTCATATCGCAATATGATATATGAATATCTTAATATGTCTCAGTATCAAGTATCTCAGTATCAAGTATCTCAGTATCAAGTATCTCAGTATCAAGCCAAATGGTTAAATATTTCATAATTTCTTAACATCTCATTTTATCTCAGTATCAAAGCAAATTTGTGCCTTTTCATTTCAATTTTCAGCCATGTCTTCCCCAGTCTCTGCAGATAAGCCACCTGCAGCTCCAACCCCCATAGCCAGTGGCATGGCGAGCAGTGTGTGGGGCTGGGCAGTGCTAGGAGGAACTCTGTATTTTACTACCTTTGGTCTGACTGGAGGAATATGTGTGATATTGTATGTGCTGGCATTTGTCGCAGGGTAAGCACTGGTTTAAGATAAGGTGATGAAAAGGATTGTTCGCTGTTCAGTGTCTGAGCACTTTCGTGGATGTCCAGTTAACGTTAATTGGAGCACCTTCAGGTCTACCCAATTACCAGACTCGGCACTGAATGATCCTGAATTCATCAGTAGATCAGACCACACTACCAGTTTTCAAGTTGTCCGTCAGTGGGCACTTCGAAATTATCAGACCCGACACCGCTCTTGCTCTAGCGATGATTCTAAGCGGGGTTGGAAAGTAGTGCATCTCATCTCAAAATTTGTTCCTGGATATGATACTGTGAAACGCGTACTGAGGCACACCTTGAAAACTGGTACTGTGGTTCTGATGTAACACATGCATACACATCTTGGTCTGTAGTGCACCTATTATTAACACAAGCATCAATATCCTACAATATATAGTATGTGTATGAATACTTGTACTCTACAACAATACTAATACTAGTGAGAAATAGGTGTGTAAATTATATTCTTAAGATTTTATTATTATTATTTTCAGTTGTTTGACCATAGCATACTACATTGGCAGGAAGCAGTCCATTGTCATGTTGGAATATGGCCAGCCAAGTTTTGGATATCCTAGAAGAGGAATACCCAAGGTAAAAATTGAAACAAGAATGTGTAATACTCTTATAATAAAAGGGAATGACATGGATTTTCCCTTTTTGAAATGGACAGTGTTATGTTTCTAAATCATTTTAAACAATCCCCTTTGTCTTCCAGTTGGTGAAGGAGGTGACCACTATTAAGCCAGTCCCAAAAGTTGACAAGCGTCTCACAGGATCCAATGTCATAGATGAAGCACTGCAGGAGGTGAACTGATCAGAGTTAGAATCCTGTAGATGACTACTTCACAATAGAAGTTCAACCCAAAAGTTGCTTTTAAGTTTAGAAACAAAATTTTAGTATACTTCTTTCCAGGAGAAATTACTGGGTATAATGTGGTATATTCCACCGAAATAGAATAACATATTTGTTATAAAGCAGGTGCAATTATTGTATGTAACCTAATTTGGCTGATTTATCTTGGGTCAAATTTGACTAAAGTTTGGGTCTAATTTTTTTTTTATTTATTTATTTTTATTTATTTATTTATTTTTTTTTGTGAAGTGGGCTGAAGTACTTGGTCAAAAAATATAAAAACTGCATTCTAAAGAAGATAACCATTTTTTCTTATAATACTTTCCAGTGTCAATATTAAGGGTCCCTTCCCCTCTTTGGTCATAATTTTATTATATTAATGTTATGCTGTGCTGTTTCTTTGCTATCTCTCAGGTACTAGAGTACACATTTCGTGACTATATCCATGTCTGGTACCAGCGACTCAGTGACCACGAGGGATTTAAGTACGACATGAGGCAAACCATACAAAAAGTTGTCATAGCTTTTTCAAGCAGGTAAGCTACTTATTCTAAAAACATTGATGGAAACACATTTGATTCAACGTCTAATTATTTTTCGATAAAACAATGTTGATAATTTTATGAAATATATTTTTTGATAGTTATATTGATGCAGAGTACAAGGATTCCACAATGTTCCACCATGTTTTTCCTTACTATTTGAACTGACCTAGGAAATAATTGATCTTTAGGACCAAAGAGATTGACTGGGTGCCCTACCTGACCACAAGACTTGTAGACGACTTTACATCTCATGTTAGAATGTTTAGAAAAGCCAAAGAAAAGATGAAGGCAAAAGACAAGGATGGTAAGTATATCTTTTGGGAATCAGATTCAGTGAGAATGTTAAGAAAGGTACAGGGTAGGGGGACTGGAGAAAGACAACTCAAGGGTATATTCGATGAAGATTGTTAGATATCAAGTTAAGATCCTTGTCTTTGTTATAACATTGTAACCTTGTTTATATTTGCTAAAATATAAAACTCAGAAATCTGTTGGTATATGCATTTTGTGGAATTATGCCTGTTCACTCCAAGTTTACATGTCTGTTGAAAACCCGTGCAGTCTTCACTATATGCAAATAAATAAAAATATGAATTCACACAATAAGAAGTGGTAAGGACCCAAAACAATACATAGTCGTTCCTGATCATTGAATGTCTTTTAATCTGTTTGGGTTGAAGATACTATTATCTTCAATTTATTTTTAAATTGATTTTTATGCACATCATTCTTTATCTCACAAAATGGAATTATCATTATTATAATTAGTAGTATTTATTTATTTCATTATTATTATTATTTTTTATTTTTTTTTTTTAATTTTTTTTTTTTTTTTGTGAAATATAGGTAAATACACAGAGGAGGAACTAATGGAAGCATTCTTTGACCAGGAGGCAAAGCATGAAGTTAAAAAAGACTGTAACTCATTACATATATGCAGAGACATGATATGCCTAAAAAAAGAAAGTGAGATACGTAAGTGTCAGTGTGAACACAGTTAGAACAGTTCCTGTAGTAGTGACCTGAGTTATACATATTTAGCACAAGCTGGGATTTATCTTCATCATTAACTAATGGGCAATCCATTCGGAGGCCTTGGTCTCAATGCACTGATATGAGCAGATGTTGTACTGACTGCCAGGTGGTATATAGCAGCTAAGACACACACACCCCCTCCCAGAGTTGGCCGTAAGCTTATGGGATAATAATTGTTATATGTCCCAACTACAAAGCTAATAAACATTCTTTGCTCAAGAATGGTTCTGTCTGCATGCCAAACATTGGAGTGTGTGTATTTAATTTTGCTTTACCCTTATCTCAACTATACCTTTGGAAGACCTTAGATTTGTTTCATTCTTGGCATTATCATGACCTTGTTCTGTTTTCAGAATTCCTGCAGGATTTGAGTGAAGTGCTGCTATTTTTGCTGCTGCCTCCAGAAGATTATCATAACAAGCCATTCCGTTACATTTGTAGGGTAAGTTAAAGGTGTCTTCATACTCTGCACCAGTTTTGGTATGTGAATCTTCTAACATGATATCTATCACTCAAAAAGTCACAATCATATTGATGGAACTGATTGAATGTCTTTGTTAATTTTACCAAGTGCACAGCTCCTGAGCACTGAGTTGTTTGTTTTTTATCAGACATGAGCTTTTTCCGTGGAAAAGCGGAATTCCATGTTTTTTTAAAATTCTATTCTGATGGTTCCTGAGATTCGTCAAGGTTAGGTGTTGGGTCCCATGATAAATGTTTATAATTTTTTTTTTTTTTAAACCTAGGCTGTTATTACATACATTGTAAATGGTACCTTTTACGACAGAAGGAACATGTAACATGAATAAATAAATATTGTTGTGTGACAAGTAAGACATTGTAATTGTTTTAGGTGTGACAGTAATTGTTTCAGGTTCCACATATTCACTGAGTCTGCTTTGTGCTTTTAATTTGGGCAGATTATGTTGCCAAGTCTTCAATTTTTATATTTGTGTATAATGATTACTTTTTATTGATTATGATTTTATATTTGTGACAAAGCCCTGGACACAAAAATATCAAGTCACAGATGGTTATTTTAGAAAAAAGGAGTGCCAGCAGTGACATTTGCACATTTTTTATTTATTATTATTTTTTTTGTTTCTGACAGTAATTTATTATTTTCTAGGAAGTAATGGTCAATGGAGTGTTCATTCCCAGCATAGATCTACTGTCTGACCCAGACTACATTAACCAGTATATTGCGTGGATGGTAGGTGTAAAAGTTCTAATATGTATAATTATAGTAGGTTGTCCAAAGCTTGAATGCCTTGGAGTCCGAAAATATGTTTCTTGTAATGTGAAGATCTGTGCAAGGAAATGTTTAGAGGTTTTAACTATTTTTTTTTCAAAAAAAGTCTTTTCAAAGTGTTGACATATCTCATCTGTATAAATCCACAAAAAATAGCAAAATATTCACACAGATGACATATATTTAGGAATATAAGCTTTAGGTCCATATATTGATCCAATATAATTCATATGCATGGGAGCATGTAAATCATTATTACATTGATTAATAAATTTTGATGATCATCCAAGGTTAGATTAAATCAAAATGATTCTGGTATAAATTTATGTATTTTACTTGAGCTGGATTGCTGGTGCTTTCAGTGCAAAGAAGACACCCTGACCAAAGAAGCTTTCCTCACTGTTCTGAAGACTTCAGACACCATAGAGGAACTTCAAGCTGTCAGGGAGAAGGTGGACTTAGATATAGCTAAATATAGGGCCAAAGACACAGGTGGCAGTGAGGGTAAGTTAGTTTAAAGATGTCAAAAGATGCAGATATTAGTAATAAATGATCGCATGGACTATGAGGCTTTCTTCCCTTACAAAAAATTCTTAAAGGATGTCCTAGAGGAATCCTACAGTACTCTACTGGACACTATAGGAATCCTACAGTACTCTACTGGACACTATAGGAATCCTACAGGACTCTATTGGACTCTGTAGGAATCCTAAAGGACTCTACTGGACTCTATAGGAATCCTACAGGACTCTGTGGGACACTAGGAATCCTACAGGACTTTGTAGGGTTTCTATCAAACTTTCTATTATAGGATTCTTTACAGGACATATGTCCTATAGGATTTTGGCCGTTTTTTCCTATAGGACACCCTATAGGACCCTATAAGAAATTTCTGTTAGGGATGACAGACAGTAGTCTCAGAAGTAGATTTTTATTCACATGAATGTAATGAGAGTTATACTTTGTCTTCAGACACAGAAATCAAGCGTCAGCTCAGTAGTCTGCAGTATGTGAAGGTGACATGTGACAAACAGATAGCACGACTACGAGGAGACCTGGACGAGGTGGATGCAGGTGACGCACTAGGAGCGGTATATATTAATTCTTTTTTCTCTTCTCAATATGACAATGTCAAATAAAATACTGTTACAGGTTTGAAGAAAATGTAGAAATTAATAACTGTTTTCTAGTAAGATTGATCTAGCTGAGGGTGTTATGATACTATAATGTTACTGTATTTGATATATCATGCTTAAATATCTTTAAACTCCTTAATACACTGTGGCCTTATCTTATAGAAATATTAAATGTGAAGCTGTTTATGTGTGGAAAAGCAATGAATAGCAGTCTTGTATTCTGTGTCATGTTCCACTTCAGAACAGTGAATATCTCCAGTACTTGGCTCCAGGAAAGGCATTGTATTCTCTGTTATTTTCTACTTCAGAACAGTGAATATCTCCAGTACTTGGCTCCAGGAAAGGCATTGTATTCTCTGTTATTTTCTACTTCAGAACAGTGAATATCTCCAGTACTTGGCTCCAGGAAACGCCTTGTATTCTCTGTTATTTTCTACTTCAGAACAGTGAATATCTCCAGTACTTGGCTCCAGGAAACGCCTTGTATTCTCTGTTATTT